GGTAGTCGAGCATTGTCGCGTTCACACACAGGCTTAGTGATCTGTGAACTGGTGACCTGAGCTCGAGAAGTTAAGCCTTCTAAGCAACGATTTTGATTTCATTTTAGTGTTACAGCAAATCATCTGAAAAGGTCGCCGCTAAGCAACACCCATGTGAGTTAGATTTATCAGTGTTTGAGCATTTCTTGTGCTATATCTGATGGAGGTTAGGTGCTTCAAAAGAAACACCCACCTTGCCTGTGGCTAACTTGAGTGGTTGGAATATTTTAAATGCGAGGTTACCACTTCAAATAGAACCATTTCTGACTGCGCCGTGTTCTGGCGCACCACTCGTAGTTGATTACCATAGGAATACCTTTAAATGTGCTGCGCTTGAGCTGCCAAAACTACATGTAGGCCTCTCGTTGCGTGCTCAGCAGCTCTGGAAGTGTTCTTGAAGTGACTCAGTTTGACCTGGCGCAGACCTCAGCATTTAACAGTGGACAGACGAAAACCCACACACCAGTAGATGAACAGAAGCAGATCGACATGACTCTGGATATGCGTCGCATTTCGCCTTCCACAGAAACTTTATGACATGCCCCAGTGTTAAGTCTTACACAGCCAATCAAACACGTGGCCCTGCATAACCAATTTGTGCATAACTCATCACTTGCCAGGAATAAAAGAACACAACACTTATCATTTTTGGTTCGCCTTTTGGTTTCATTTCTTGATGTGTTTCGAGTACTCTGAATGATATATTCCTTCGTTTCAGTTATTGTTACCGAAAAGGGACTCTGTAAGAAATTTGTTCTTGCATTTTTGCTTTTTTTTAATTGTCAATACACTTCAAGATGGCTTCAGTGCGCATTTGTATGTAAAAATTCCTGTTTTCATAACCCTGCAAGGTCGTGGGCGCTTAGCTAAATGCAGTCGTAACTCTTGCCGCCCAAGTTAACTCATGGCTAGATAGTATAATTAAAGGTGGATTCTAGTTATTTCTAAGCGAAAGAATGCGTTAATACAGTTGCTTGTGGTTGTAAATGCAATGCTGCTGGAAGCTTGTCTGGTTGCAAAAACCCGCACACCGAAAACCCGTTGGCAGTGCCTAATTCGCTTGCGTGTGAGCACAGAAGCTAAGGACCATTGTGTGCTGAATGCTTATAACCTTGCCGGTTGCGGTAACGCCTTCCTCGTGCCACAAACGCCAGTTAGATCTCGTGCAGAGATATAGCTTACCTACTGCTCGCGTTGATGACTACCTATACCAATTATTTTTGCCCATTTAGACGTGATTCATATGTGGAGAAAGGTACGTTGCTTCGTGTAAAATCCTTCAACGTTATTTACAGGTCCATCGACTATGCAAAATCCTACTTGTGGCATCACTCGGCCTGCTTGCCTTCTTAATAGTCGCGCATTTATTCTCTCATGACGATGCCGGTAAGACATTTGTTGTTCCTGTCTGATATTTTGTTCATACATTTGTAGAATTCGTTAAAAAATTACTTTGTTAACATAGGGCTTCATTGCTCCCTTAGTATTTTACTGTTAATAGCAACCGATGACTAGATGGTACTGAACCTAACCAACCCCCATCGAAAGTGTCGAAGTTGAAGAAAGGGACAAAAAAATCACGGTTGATGTGCATTTACTGTAATTTTTGGCAAATTCAAATAAACTAAAATATCTAGTCGGGCTCTTAAACCAAAAAAAAGTTTGAAAAATTGTGATAGGCCAGTAGCGGTACCGATAATGTAAAATTAGCCCGGTTAAGATAACCACAAATTCCAGAATTCCTGAGCTCAGGTTTCTGGCTAAAAGTTTGATTGTCCAATAGTGTTATGTCTCATTTCGCCCATGCTAGTCATCTCGTAGGTACATTTTGCGACACGAGAAACCATTTTTAATGGCTAACAGTTTGTTTCCGAGGACAATTTTTAAGCAGCATCTACACCTTATCCTAGGCGATAGAAAATCGCCTCAAATGAATGTATGAAAGGTAGCAGTTAAAAAAATTGGCATCCCGAGTTCTTTATAGGGACCACTAAAATTGTTTCCAGATAACCTACTCTTCTACATTCCAGTAAAATTTTGTAAAAGAGGAGCCACTGTTTTGTTCCATGGCTAAAACTCACGTTGTGCTTCGCAATTAGATCCCAGACTAATTTGTTCTAGAGCTTTTATATTTCCCCAAAACGAAGTTGGAAGCTTTGTTACCTAGACTTGATTGACTTGCTCTAAACCACGCAACATCGAATGCTTTTAACTTGGTGCTCCTTGCCATAAGATTTTTACATTGCTCCTTTCGCTAGCTGCTCACCTCTTTTCTTGTCACTGCGTTCTCTGTAACTGTTAATCTATTTGCAAACTACTGGGCATAGTCCTGAATTTATAAGAAGATTATGCCTACAAACTACCAACTAGTAATCCATGGATGCTTTATCGTGCATCCTCAATTACAGGTAATATTTTTTTGAAATCCAGAGAGTTTATTCTGACACAGGGAATTAACTGATTCTAGTAACTTAAACATTTGAAAGCAGTCATGTCTTTGTTAAATTGGAATTCGCTCTCAGTGGCCTTACAATCCTGAAAAACTTGGCTTAAATTCAAATCCACCGAACACATGCTCAGTCTTGCACTTGCAACTTTCTGCACGCTGACTTTTAAAGTTTCTTTGCAGATTTGAGATTGGCTCTTCCGAGGAAAGAAATTATTCTTGAAGAAAATGGAATTAATTTGGTGAGACAACATTGTCAGTTTTGTTTTTCCCTTTTGTTGAAACAACTTTCTCACAGACCTTTCTTCCTGGAAAATTCATTTTACCGCTTCGCTTGATCTAAATCTGGACTTTCGTGGGAAGGATTTGCATTGTTTCTGAAATCTGGACAGAGGCTTATGAACGATGTCTGCGTAACTTAGCCGAAATTTCTGTAACTGGCAACAAGAAGTTTTATAAATATACCAGATTTTCAGTATAACATAAACCAAGAATCGCTTAGAATGTGCTGAAAATTAGTTATGTTTAGTGTAGATTTTGAAGGACGATTTGGGATTTAGAAAATCGAAATAGTCAGTTGGCAAAATACTCATGTCAATTCACTTCTCCAAGTGATTGCAGCTTTCATGCGGCATACCACTCACATAAAAACGAATAAAACATTTCAGGGAAAATTTCCCAATATTGTGGCCTATTTTATTTTTTTGCAGTAAATTCCGCTCCCAATTTTTGGGATTTACTTAAAAATTAAATGATTAAAGGCTCAAAGTTAAAAAAAATCATCAACACTTCTTACTAATGGATTCTCGGTATTGATCACATGGATGTGCGTGGGTACCCTATTGGATGCTATAAATATTACCAGGAAAATTATGTCTGGTTTTATATTCTTTTTGTGACAAAACAGGAGGATGTGCTCTTAAGATTTTCCCATATGACATTAAAAAAGGTCACCTGATATCTCAATCGTATTATCACAGAAGCCACTCATGCACCTCATAATTAAAGCTATTATAGTTAGTCGATGCGGAGACATAAGTCCGCTTCTTTTTTCAACCATTAATACAGAACAAAATGTGGGTAAAATAAACCAATTACACTTTCTCTACAAATGTCACATGATTTCTCTCCTCGTAAAATTATTGATTGATCACGCTTTGCTTAACATGTAGTGGTTTGCCATCGGAGTTGCTATTACACCATCTAGTGAGATCATAATCGTTGCTGAATGCCACGTCGTGTATTTGCTTTGAATTCGGGAAGAAATTTAGTTATTTGGTTATATCGAGCATTCTTCAATAGGCCTCCGTAAAACTCCATGATGATCATTTTGGTGAGTTGTAGATGCGCAGGTCTTCCCTAAGAATCACCTACCCTTGCCGATTCTGTTGAACGCCATCGCAGAGGTGTTGATCGGTCGGCTAGCTCCGTACGAGGCTTTTATAAGGAAAAGACGCCACCTTGGTCCACCACATGCAGCTAATCATCTTTTGTGGACAAAATCCTGCCAGACCCGCTCCCTATTTTGCGTAAAATTTGCATAAGACATCAATTCTCGTCGTCAGTGACAACGCAAACCAGAAACTTCGGTTTGGGTAATCAAATAACCCATATGGTACACACTCCAGGAGGTAAAAAAGGGGTCTTTGATGGCAACTCAAATGATTAGCGACTTCGCTGTGGGCCATTCAAACTTCCCGATTCACGTCCATGAATTTAACACCATGAAAGAACGCAAGAGAGCGTGGTTTTGAAAAAATACCGATCATTGTCAACTGGACGACAGATGAAAAAGATCATTGCCATCTTGCTTGGAGCATAGTGAATTTGCTTCCCAAACGCGTTCAAAATTTTCCCAATCAAGTTAAGTGGCATGTCTTCCGGAACCACAACAGCCAAACAATTGTTAAAATCTAATATTAACTGAAAAAGTAACTTTAGCTGCGGTTGCAGGCATCCCTAGCAGACAACAATTAGGCGATTAAGCACTCACACGAAAAGCAGAAAAAATGCTTTCGTCAGCTACTGCGTAATCACTGCATACGTAAACACCAATTTTTAACTCATGGATCGCTGTCTGCGGTAGCCTTATGTGCCTTCTCCTTCCCATGACTTAATGGGCTTTTGTTAAACAGACAATTACCTTAAATGATAATTGTGTGTGAAATCACACAAATAAAATCACGCGCCTCGATTTATTTTTCCCATTTTAATGCCTGGTTATCTCAGGGGTGCTAAAGCCAGCACCTGCGTGTTGGGCTGGACGCATCTAAGTTTCAGAGGTCGACCGTTTTGAATGTCTTTAAGGATCGTGGGATCTAAGTTTATTGCGTTTAACAGGACTTAACTAACCATGCTAATTTTGCATCACTTTTCTTCACAAAATATTAAATCTGCGAAACGCGATAGAAGTGGGTGTCTATGATAACGTTAATTCCGCCAGTATCTTTTTGATTCATTTCCTCTAAGTTCTTGAATTGAATCAGTTAAGTCGTTATCTTAACTTTGCAACCTAATGACTGCTTGTCAATTGGCTGTTTATTCACAGCGGTTCAACCCAGAGAGCAAAGGCATGGCCAGAATTATCGTCAAAGTCGATGACCATGGCCACGAGAACATGAGTGAAGCCTTGGTCGACCTTAGGAGCTACCTCCTTCGGAGTCAATTACAAGTCTGCACCTCACAATCCGAGTTAAAGACGCACTTCACCACAACCTACAGTCTGCTACCTCGTCTGTATTCCACCTGCATTCCTGGGCGTATGCGCCTCGCACTTACCAAGGAGGCTCTTTCAGATTGCTTAACCAAATGGGAAGATGAATACTGTTTTGCATTTTTCGATGTCCATGACAAGTTGCCCTCGGAAAAAATCCTCGTCGCGTCACCAGACTACGGGCTAAACCGCAGAGACTTCTCATTAGCACCCTTTGGAGTGGTCTTTCCCTACTGGCCCATGGCTCCGGTGACTGTCCACACACCCCAACCAATGTTCAATACGCACAGAGTCATCATGAATCCCTCCAGAAGGGCCTATATTATTGGGACAGATTTAGGGAGACTATCGGGCAACGCGAAGGAAGAATTGCCATCAATCATCACCAGTCTTTCAAATGTCGCACAAGTGAATGTCTCAATAAGGAGTTCTGGCAACCGGGAATGTTTCCCAAATGAAACCCTTCCAATGCGCGAGACCCAGGAGTTCTTGCCATGCAGTCAGGCGCGAAATGTAAGTTTGACTTGGCGGCACTTTAAGACAGTATTACTAGCACTTGGTGATCAAAATGTGTACATTTGTACCGAGCGTGAGTGAACCTGAGGCTAATCGGCAATCTTGAATTGACTTCACCTAGCGACTTTCATTCAGAGATCGAATGCTGCGCGTAGGCATTTAAACTGACGAATTGTCGCGCTAAAGTGCCCCTTCTCTTCCAAAACAATAAATGGTTAAGTAGATCACGTTTCGGTCTTATAACCCGTGTTTTTGGTGGCAGGATACAGCCCGACTTCAAAACTGCTTTACAAAGGGGCATTGAAGCACCTGCAAATCTAGCATGCCAGGACATCAGAAAGATAAAAAATGAAATAAATTCAAACTTTGACTTATAGATTATCCAGAAATCCAGCTTCTGTCTCATAGTGGTCAATGACTGGGAAAACATAACCCCCTCGGCAGTGCGTTCCATTCACGCACAGTTATGGACGTGCCTCAAATTCCACTCCATTCCCCTTATACCAACGCATTACGTCAAGGAGAATGCGGAAAAAGTCCTGCCATTCTTCGGCCTTTTAGAAAGTCTATGGTCCAGAGCAATCGTATTCCAGCCCTTCATAAACGCGAGTGACTTTGTCCACCGATTGATGGAGATATTCTCTAACGAAGGCGTTGTTTTGATGGACAAGGTACACATGATAATTTTTTTTCGAATTTTCACCTAAGTTAATCAAAACCCATTAATACTGCCAATTTCTCGGTAATTAAACATAAGCAAAATTGGATCATTCGTTGCTTTCATGGGTGGATTGAACTCATCAGCCGTGTGGGAGGTCGACTATTGTTTTTACTCGGAATGTCTTTACCTTACTCGGTGTGTGCTCTCGGTTCATTACCCGAATTCATATGAAACGCCAAATAGGACTATGTAATGTGGTTATTTATTCATTTATCGCCACGAAATCCTTTTTGCACTTATTATGACATTCAGGTACTCATTGTCTTCTAATTTTATGGTTTTCCCTTGAACGTTTCTTTACGGCTTCCTTGGTAATTTGTTATAGCAGGATCTGACGTGCTATATAAATTACTCACGTAAAATATCAAAAATCAATGTAAAAATATCTGATATTAGTTGTTTTGGTTAGTTTAAATTTGGTATTTTCAAGTGCCAGACGCCATTGGAGTAAATTAACACGTAATTGAATGAGTTTCAGCTAAACCCTACTGAACCAGTGGGGACGTTTTGTTAGGAAAATACTTTTGCAACTCCATAAACAGAAAACACGCAAACAATTGTAGTATAAATGCTGGGTTATTGCTCCCTTTATGTGCCCCAACTCAGAAAAAAAAATCAAGTTGATCTGAATAATTAAAAAAAAAACTTTTTGCAAATTGCAGTTGGACTAGCATAAATTAATCTCCAAATACAGTATATCTGCCTTTTGTTTGGTTAGCACTTGAGCAACAGTCCTGCGACTACCTTGTGTGGGTGTAGGTAATTTTGAGGCGTGCCAAATTCGCAAGCCTAATTTTCATTTCCATTGCTTGAAATTTCTGTGCTCTGAAGTACGGTAGTGCGAAGTTCTGGGTGGTACTTAAGAACTGTTCTTCCTTGTACAAATTCCAAGCATGCATCTATCGTGTTGCCTGGGTTGACATCGCAGTTTTCTGGTGGGTGGCTGTGAGTGAGATCACGATCAACTGACTCAAGGTCAGCGGAATAATTTCAGAGCTGATTTCAAGTTTTTGAGTGGGCGTTTATTTGCAACGCATATCCATGCCATGGTTCAAATCTTAAGAACATGGCCTAAAGCAAAATGGCAGAAGAAATTACCAAAGTTGGGATCAAGGCTGCACCGCTCATTCACATCTAGGAATGAAAGTGAGTGAGGTCAGTCGTCATCAGGACTGTGGTTTTATTGTTAGTCACAGGAGTCTGTGCCTTGGTGAAAATAGTGCGTGAGAAATTTTCATGTGGTTAGAAAAAGGTATGCACTCCTCGATGTCTGCCATGGAGATGGAATAACGGATTTAGAGGAAGTATGTAGCACTAAGGTTACTTCGAGACTTGTAAACCACTGAATTCTAAGTTTGCTGTACACTTAAAGATGTAAATTTTGGCATTGCTCCTGATAGCCACGATTTGTATGAGAAAAGGTCGACCACATCCTTTAAAATATGCGGATTTGGAATCTGCCACTTTTCAAATTATTCTAGACCAATATTTATCCCCTTTTACTTGCTTTGATCTACGCTGCGTAATAATACTAATAGTGATGTTTTAGTTTTCATCCTATCGTGATGTTCCAATTGGTATTTTTTCCATCACGTTTCATGGCGACATAGCCTCCAAATAATTTTGTGTTCGATCGGATTTAATTTGCCCACCGTGTCCTAGTAAACTTTCTTTACGCGACTGATGTCTTCTTTTGTTTCCTCATGCCTCTTTTCAGTTTTTTTATTAATTATTTTTTTGCCACCTGGGGAATAAACCTAAATCACCTTCATGGTCATGTTTCTGATCTAAGGACGTTTTCTAAAGAAGGCAAAAACTGTTGAGTAGTAAAAAAAAGGCGACTTAATCAGATAATTTAACAATCAAGCAATGTGACAATTATTACTTGGGCGATTACGTCTTCAGTCCTGCAGGGCAGACCATTTAACTCCACATCTGGCCTGGTATGTAGAAAAATTTGGCCTGCTTCGCTACGCGTGTGTTCCGTTTCTTTTGGTATTGTAGGGTGCTAAGTTATTTAATCGTCACCTGGCAACGGTGGGTAAGCAAGTGGAAACGGCAGTGGCAGCATTAAACAGAGCGTTATCGTTTCCGCAGCCTGCGCTTCCCGTAGTTAAAACTTATCAAACTGGACGCATCCAGGACACCCGTGTGCACATCTACGAGGTGTATGACTACCCGAAGGAAAGCAAATCGTTCATGCCTTCGGGCTTGGTGCAGCCCAACGAGGAATGCGACCCGCCATCTGATGATGCATTTGAGGGACCTCTTTGGACATTAGAGACAAGTCCGTGGCAAAGATGCAAGGCGAGTGAAGGTGAGACGTGAACAATGACCCTGGTTCTTATTCTGTTAACGCTACACACATTTTAGGCCAAGTGTTCACCAGACATCGCACAGGTTTCGCTATTTACCTGTTGGTCCAGTGTTTGGAGTAATCTGAGATCACTTGAAACCTGAGCGTGATCGGCAGAATACCTTTGCTCCTTTCTGTTTGCGTATTTGTTTATGATTGTTGAGGCCACCGATTTTATTTACCTTTAAGTAGGCGAATAAAATAACTTCCATGCAGGAATCTTTACGGACCGTACTTAACTCTGGTGTACATAATGACTGCTCCCATGTGCAGACAGCTAGTTTTCCTTTGAGCCCAAAACTCTTCTAATGAAAGGAGCATAGCGCAAGGTTGTGACAATTCAAATGTACCGAAATACAACCCACCGTATTTATCGATGATAGAGACCATCACGACTGCTCTGACAGGATCATTCTGATAATAATAGGAAACAGGACTCGCATTTCGCTTAAGGACTTTTTACAAAGGCGCTTCAAGTCACAATTCTATAAGAATCATAGAGTTACACGATGACATCTTCGCAGCAAAAATCCACGTTGGATATTGCTGAGCGTTATTTCCATCAAGTGATTTACAAGCTTCATTTTACTAAGTATGTTTGAAATAATTTAATACTACATCAAATAACTACAACTTCGCATCACTAAGTGGCAAAAGAATCTTGTAGGTTAAAGCAGATTCCCATGTCCCACCTACACTTGTTGACAACTACGCAATTAAGTTCAAAAAGGGTTCATTTTCACCTGACTGCTCAAATCACATCGGATGACCAACTATTGAGTGAAAGGGCATCGAGCCATTGCGGAAATCATAAAAGTGCGAAACTCTCTGGGGCCAATACTTGACAGAATCAACCAATTTCTTCTCATCACTATCGCCTTGTACCACAAACTTGATTAGTTACACATAATTGTAACATACCACCAAAAATGATCACCAAAATGCTTTCAGTAAATCCGAAGATCGCGAAAAGTGAAAAATAAAACGACATGTGCACGGTCCCTTTTGATGACATTTGTTTAATTTTGTTTTATTAGAGGAAACAAGAAATCTCTCAAACACTTTCACTGGTGAGTGTATTCTTCGCATGTTTGTGTGTGTTTTTTTTACTTCCTTTGCATTTCTTTTTCAATTTTACACCACCCTCAAATGCTTTATAAACACGCAGATATACTGGATATTTGGTGTTAGTCACTAAAAACCACTGCCAAATGAAGGTCCGATTCTGTGGCCTTCAATTTCCCATAAATCACGCCAGCATCACACGCACAACTGACAGGAAAATGATTGCCAATCCCGCCACTAAAACCTGGTTTAAGAGCTTGTGCACCAAGTGCCGCTGATTTCAACGGCAGAAAGAGTTGCTTCACCGAACGACCAGGTGATTCTTTGCACCAAAAGAGGTTAACCTTACGCACACCTTTACATATTTTGGCGAAATTAGTGACGAATACCTCCATGTATATTCACACCAAACTTACCGCCTCGTGGGTATCGCTTGAAGAGCGTAAAGGACCATCTAAAGTATGGTAATGTGACAGGAAGTGCACACGGATAAATGTCCGGGTACGGCAAAGCTTATGGTCGTGAATATTAATGAAATCGTGCATGACATTAGCGGTGGTCAGACTAGCATAAGGTAATCTCCAAATGCAGTATATTTGCCTTTTGTTTGGTTAGCACTTGTGCAGCAGTCCTGCAACTACTTTGTGTGGGTGTAGGTAATTTTGAGGCGTGCCAAGTTCGTGAGCTTAATTTTCATTTCCGTCGCCTGGAACTTCTGTCGTGTTATCTAGGTTGACTTCGCAGTTTTCTGGTAGGTGGCTGTTTGTGAAGTCAATGTCAAATGACTCTAGATCAGTGGAATAATTTCAGAGCCAACCTTAAGTGTTTGAGTGGGCGTTTATTTACGGCGCATATCCATGCTGTGGTTCAAATCTTAAGAACATGGCTTAAAGCATAATGGCAGAAGAAATTACCAAAGTTGGGATCAAGGCTGCACTGCTCATTCACATCTAGGAATGAGAATGATTAATGTGCCTACAATGTAATTCCCCTTTACTTAGTCTTTTGGACATTGTGCTAATTCAAATCTGTCAAAATTGCCTACGGGATTCCCTGTTTATTAAGCCCTACGTCTACTTTTTTTTCAAAAAATATTGTATTTATCCGCCGCAAACTTATTGTCTAAGTTGTAAACTGACTTTTGTTAATAATGACCACCAACAGACATTGTCTCCTTAGTACACATCTCAGATTTTAACCTGGCTTAATACTGAACACGAACACACGTTGGTTGCAATAATTGCGAAGTTCTGGACCAAATAAAATCATTCCTCAAATGTATGTTTGTGTCTCGGATAGAGGCCTCTCATTGTCCTCTAGTGGACAAACCAACCTTCTAACAGTTCTACCCTTTCAAATCGAGATGTTCAATTTTATCTGTTCCCAGAAACCTAACCCATCCTCAGACATTCAACGCCTGTTGGCGGTCTTAAGTAATCAGCCGAAGTAGGATGAAAAACAACAAGCAGGTTGCCAGTTACTAAAGAAAAATAGTTTCCAGAGCATGTGTGAAGATTCATTGGTTTAAAACCTGGTGAAACTGGCGTCCTCACACAACCACGAGTCACAGAAATGGTGTGTCAACCTGATATCCAAGTGCTCATCCAATATAATTTTAGTTTTTTGGCAGCCTCGTTTATAACTTTTGCATAATACAGTTACATTTGTTTTGGCATTTGTTTTCAGTAAAGTCTAATCTGGATTGTTTGTTTCGGACGGCCAGTTGTGTTTCACCCCGTAGAAAATGACCTACCTTTGACTTATTACAGTTATCTTCCTGACTTACGACAGAACCGCAATGTTGATCTCCAACATCAAGCGTTTCCTGCAAATCCAAGACCTGATCCATTCGATACTTGTGGTATGGAATCATCCAACTTTGAAACCAGAGTCTTTCGTTTGGCCGCAAACGCCGTTTCCAATCAACGTATGTACTTTCACATGTCCTTTCGTTATTTTGAAACTCAAAACGTCGTGTTAATGCGAGCATCGGTTGAGTTAATGAACCTCAAAAAAACTGGTCGTGTCTGAATTCAGCCTGGTACCATTAACGAAAATATTTGGAAATAAGCTATAACTACCAACCAGGTTTGTTTAAGTGCTGCGGTCAATGCCAGATTGAATGCGTAACCTATCTCAGGTCAATTTTTTGAGCTGTGGAAACGCAGTATTTGGTGTAAATAGGTTTTGATATCCAAAATTAATGCACTGACGTTTTATTTTAAAGCATAAAGTCATCAGTTATTAGTTTAGCATCCATGTCTACTGGGGTATTGCGTACTGCGAAGCGAGTTAATACGTGTCAAACAAGAGCAGGAAACCGGTTGAATGTGCCAAAAACACTGCCACAAAATTTGCTCAAACTGCCACCTGGAAACCAAGGCTAGCTTACACGTTGATAAACTAAGGTGTCATTTTAAGGGCAGCCTTGCCTTTCAAAAATCTTGAAACCCGGGATCCAAGATTTTAATAATAGTACCTAATTGAAATCGACGTTTACTAACTCAACCTCTGAAGATGACAATGAGTCATAATAGACGTTTCTGTCAAAAATGACGTCTTACTTTGGGTCTTTGGGTTAATATCAGTCAAAAGACCCTGAATTGGTTCAGGGCATCGTGCGTATAATAGACTTAGATGGTGGTTTTCTGGCCTTAAATTATGTTTAAAGTATTTTTTGAAGCTTTAGCCTTGCCACAGAAACGTGTAACCAGTCTCTTGTTTATCTGGTTGTAAGTTAACAACCAATCAAACAGAATAGATCAGTTTCGATCAGTGGTGACTCGCAAAGATGGCTTTGGCGCTACCACCAAGGTAACACGCCGGAGGCGAAAGCACTTGTGCTGACGATGCCTACGTTGTCAGAATTTTTTTAGTTTCATATGAATTCATCTTATTATGTGAAAATAATTGTATAGGGAAATCCAGTTTCTTACCACCCAATATATATTGATGGTTTTTTGATCATTCTTGCAGTCTACGATGTCTACACTTATTTTAAGGTTTAAATAGCATTTTAACAGCTCACATAACCTGTTTTGTGAGGACTGCAATTCGTATAACCGGTCGTCAAGGTGACTGTGTAACAAACTATGTAATCATTAAGAGAACACCAGTTCTTCCTTGGAATCATTAGAAGCAGAAGACCGACCACTCTTGCGCCAGTTAATTATTTCTAGTCTCAAACTCGGTTTAAGATGGATTTGGTGAAAAAAAGACGCTGGCAGTCTGTCACTCATTTGATTGGTGTGAAGTTTGTGTGTGTGACTGGAGGTGTGTCGGTCAACCCGAAGCACAGCATTCTTATCAGTTCCAGATGAGGGTAGCTGCTAGTCAGCAAATTGAGACGGCATGAGTGATTGCCTTCATTCCTTGTGAAAGCTCACTCATCAGCTAGGCGGAACACCACTTGAACTTTGGTTCTGTCTGCGGAAATGGACGTCAACGTGACTAGGAAGGTCAGCACTCAAGATGCCTTGTGTGAACGAGAATGCACATGAGGCTGCTGCTACTGGTCACTGCAAAGACTTGCATGTGGAAACTTACATACCAAGGAGTCTGGCATTTAGAAAAAGGTAGTAACTCAATTGTGGCTTCTGAGTTTCTCCACAAATTTCTAGCATAAATGACGGTCAATGCGCCCAACGGCTTAGTGACGTCAGTTTGAGCACATTTATGCTGACACTGCGGCTTTTTTAGAACGCTGACTTGTGCAGCCCGGTATTTTCTTGTTAACTGAAACGCCCCAACAATCACTACCTGTTTGGTTTAGTTTAGCTTCCACGAGTTGCGCACAACTAGGATTATAAAACACCGACATGTACCTACACGAAATTTACGTGGTGTTGTTTTTGCAAACTTACAGTTCAGAGCTACCACTAATATCACTGCCACCTGTAATCTAATCACTTTAGAGCTAAAATGTGAGTTGTGTTGCAGTGCACGAACAAAGAATGTAACTTGTCTAAGCTAACATCGTTGGTGTTATGTGAATGATTTGATGTGTTTTCTGGAACAACGTCAATGAATGGGCAAGTGGCCCTTCACGCCGTCATATCAAATTGGGTTTTTGACGAAAATGCAATTTCAGACATTGAAACGTGTGAAAATGACTTAATCCAAGTATTCTTGAAAACTAAACCGACTTCGCTTACTTGGGATGGCTCTCTGGTAATCACCACAAGAGAACTAAGCATACTCTGTGACACGACTTATTTATTATACGAGGTGAAATCGTGGGTATTTACAAACATTTTCAAGTCTTGTGTTCATTTACGAAGTTAGTAAAATGACCCAAGAGTATTTATCATTTAGAAAGGATACCACCTATGTTGATTTGTAAGTCCACCATAAAAATCCGCTTGTGTGTGTATGCGTCAATCATAAAATCAATAAATCGTGCACATTAAAACACTTACACTTATTTTACACCATGTCTCAAATTTGATAAATTAATTCGAAACTTCCTACTGCACATTTTTCACACCGGACAACATTTGTGGCATTTAAACGTGGAAACACGACCTGGGATTTGTTTGCGCGGTTTCGTTAGAAGTGCTAGCTCTACCAAACCTGCATCCCACATGGGCCCTAGCCATTTCCCCTTGTAATTTACTCTCCTGCGAATGCGTGAGGTTTCGCGTCGTGTGATCTCTATTTCATTTCCTAATGCCATTGGTGTTGTAGGTAATCCGGGTACCTTTGAATAAGCTGCAAAGCCGATTTCTGCCCTTCGACATTATCAAAACAGATGCAGTATTAACGCTTGATGATGAGGTGGTTCCAGATGGCAAGTCTACGAGGGCCGGTTTCAGGTAATAAAGTTAAGCTCTTAACTCGCGAACTAGATTATCGATGTCCTTTAGCCCACATTTAAACCAAGTAGATTGCTTCATTCAAACTAATAGTTTAGCCAACAAAAACCGAGTTTTTGCTATATTTGGCAACAAAAAAGTTGTTTGTGGTGCAAAATTTCCTTTTTCGTCATTGCAAGGCGCGAATTCACCGTGGACGCCGCTAAGTATTCGCTTTTAAACGACTTGTTTGGCATTAATGTCTTGACATAAAAACTTGTTGCTACTGCAATTTGCAAAGTAGGCTTTTTCCAGATCTGAAGCGAGCTTTGACTAACGATTGCGTTTTGTGGATTGTTAAGCTTATGGAAGGAACACCCGGACAGGTTGGTCGGTTTCGTGGCAAGAGGTCACAAATGGTATGACAGAATGGGTCAATTTCGATACGTTGCAACGGCACAACCCACCTACTCTTTCATATTAACGGGTGCATCCTTCTTTCACAAGGTTAGTTCCTGTTGCCGGAGTGATTTCGTAGTGATTTGTTCTCCTTTTACTGTCTTTTCGAGAATCCTAGCCACATTGTAGATCACCAAGTCGTGTTTTGTCAGTACGTGTAAGTTGTACAATTCACCTTCAAAGAGGCCAACTTGCTCGATCACCCGACCAGGGAGTTGGCGCAATTAATTTCCCCTAATTTGTGAGAGGTTGTTGGTCTTAAATCGCATCGTATATCGACTGATCATTAAGTATTTTAAAAGGATTTCACCTATGCGTATTAACAGCTGCCTGTTTGATAGAACTGTTCTCTATCAAACCACTGACTCTTTGATCCCCTACTCTCGCATCCTCTTCCACCGTCTTCACCTGTCCCAATTCCGATAATTTGCCATGTCCTAACGCATTATTCCTCTTCTAGTCTTGTCTTCGTTACCTGTTTCTTAAACTAAGCCTGCGCGACCTCATTCGAAGAACGCAACAAATGCCACTACCTGACAAAGTGTTTGAGAAATTGTGTCAGTAAATCTTCAATAAACTGCCGCTGCCAGCACGTGTAGGCAACAAGAGTTCGAGCGTTGTCATGTAGCAGCAGTATGACTTGCCTGCTTCCTTGCCCAATAACTGGCCTTTTCTCATCAAGTGCTTTGCTAATTTTGTTCAATTATCAACTGTAGCGATCTACAATCATTGTCTGACCAGTTTCTAGGAGTTGCCTAGAAAGCAGTTAAAAGCGTGCGGTCATGCCTTGACCTAGGTTGTGCTAGGTCAACACACGTGGGACTCAAATTCCACGTTATGTATATTTCCCGTTTGATGGTGTAAACTCCTGGAAATAGCTGTTTGGGCAAACCCCAACTAAGCTGCAGGCTCTTGTTGCGTTTGCGTCGAGTCTTCATCCAGTAGAACTTGCAATTATGCATCTTCAAAGCTTCGAGGCTGTCAGAGACGCAACTGGTCTCTGAGATTGAAATCACCACTTCTAGAACGCTTTTCATAAGACACAACGTCGGCGCCAAGAACGCTACAAACTTATTCCCCCGGGTTCTTTGGCAGCATTTTGTCCTTGTTAGAATTCGTGTAGAATGCAGTGCCATCGAATGTGCTGTTTGACAGTTGCCACCGTCGTAAACTCAGGTATTCTGAGGGGTTAGGTAACTCACGTAGACTTGTCGTTTGGTGTTCTGAAGCCATGCGTCCGATCCTTTTTAAACCACAAAAACCTGTCCATAAATTTTGCATAATGCGTCTTGCTGGTTTTCAGTTCGTAGGATTTGAACACTTTGTCTGTTTCAGTACTACCTGTATGCCTACACGTTTGAGCTTCTACACGAGATTTATGCAGTGGTGGATGAGATAATGAACTGTGAAGACATAGCAATGAACATGCTTACTCAGCAGATCTCCGAAAAACCTCCCCTCAGGGTAGGTCGCTTACTGTTACCACTTTTTCCGCAAAACGATCACCTGCTTTAACTGTTCGTGCAATTTGTAGGTCATCAGTGGAACGCGGTTTGCGTGTCCCTCCTGTACAGAAGGACTTTCGCGTAAAAAAGGACACTATCACATGCGAAGTGCCTGCATAACTAACTTCATTCATTTATTTGGCTATGATCCACTCAAAACCACCAACTTCATGAAGAAAGTTTGATAGGGCGATACATTTGCATGTATATGGTCTCCAGCTATTTTCGCACGCAAACATACCTATGCATTCCGGCTGCCTGATGCTTTTATGTTCTTAGAGTTTTGATTTAGCACCCAAATTAGCTCGACAGCGGAGTGGAAGGAGAAATTACGCCTGTGTAATCTCCGTGCTGCTGTACTATATTCGGTGACGTAAAACTAAGCTAATTAGGCCTAATCACAGAAATCCACACGATCAAATATGGGGAATTTCAAAATTTGACATTAAAATGCTAAGGCTTTGTTTCTTCCTCTTTGCACGTCACAATAAGCGCCAAAGCATTGACTGGACCAGCGGCATTAATTCGAGGTCGTAGTGACGCGTGTCTTTTAACTTGAGACTGAAAGTTCGCCTTTTCGGTCTCCCAGTCCGTTGACACCCTATGTAGTCCCGGTAGAGAGACAAACTTCTACCGTAGCCGCAGTGTATGCCCCGATGAACCTCAAGCATTTCTCCTTTAAACCCCATCATGGTCTACCCCTTCCAGATACTTTAATTGAGTGTCTGTGAAATGATGAACTTGCTACAAAGCCTTTAGTTTTTATTGTGCCGTTGACAGCCCGGAATTATCCCCCCTGCCTTCAGTATCACATTACTTCGCGCGCATTGTCCCACCCATCCTAGTGGGCAAACAACTCGACCTCTGCCATATCACGAGAGACAAGTAGTTGTGATGTCTCAGGCACTTCTTTGACTCCCTTTGGAGTTATTTCCGGTTAATTTTCCACGGTTGAGATGTTGTCAGGCATGGGTCTACTTCCAGATGAGGTTTTGTCCATACAGTCTGCAAAGTTGATGCAAGTATCCGTTGCTTAGTAAAATGCTTTAGAGGGCACTCGTCAAAATTTTGCGAGGATACATCAGATTCAACCATAAAAATCGCTTTACTTAGTCTTCTTTTTGCTTAATAAAAATCTTTTAAACGGTCAAAAAATTTTCACCAATTTAGTAATTTGTTTAGCTGCATACACACCAAAGCTTCTAGCATTGTCCAGCGAAGTATTACCGTGAGCGAAACGCCAGAGGCAAACATTCCATCCAGTGACGGTTAAGATTTTGAAAAAAAAATCAAGTTCCAGTTTCATCGAAACTTACTTCATCGTGTAAACCCACTTAAAAACACCCAGAAATGTTTTAATTGGGTCTGCGCTCACACTCGCCACCCAGGAATGACCTCGACGCCCTATTTTAATTGTCCTTTGCTGTCAAATTTGACCCAAAAACTTGATTTCCATGCTAACCGAACTGACACCCGAGAGTGGCATTTATAAGAACGTTTTGTGAGAAGCTTTCTCAGGCCTTTTTACCAATGTAGAGTCTGTTGCTGTGCCGCTCAAATGAACTACTCAAGGCTACCTGTGATTTGTGACATCGGAAGCGTTGTGGTACACATTGACTTCCACGTGACAAGTCTTGCCTTCATTCACTAAAATCACCATGTGCAGTTATCTGGGAATATCAACCCAAATGCAGCATGGGAATCCACAACTGTCCACGTTGTTGAATTAGGGTGATCGTATTGCGATTCCAAAATGACATGGAAGCTGCGTTAGTTTTCAATACTTGACATTACACAAATGTACCAGCCAATTGACCAAGTCTAGTAAATGTACCTTTGAATCCGAACAAACCTCAGGGCGAATTTCTACAAGGAAGCAGAATTTAGGGAATTAAGAGTGGCTCATTCATCTTGATTATCATCAAGTTTGCGTCAGACAGCGCAGAAGAGTTATTTAATGATAAATGTCTCGATTGTTTCCTGGTCAATCACCAAGTACCTTTCATGCTGTCCCACTATGCTTCGTGTTCTATTCTTGGTCATTGAACCAATGAAAGGCCCAAGATTAATTGGTCTGTTCTGCAAAATAAAAGTCTAGTTGGCATTTTACATAAACGCAAATGATACTCAGTATTTAACAAAAAAGTCAAGTCTTAAATTCTCTTAGTTTCATGTCCTCCATTAAACCTTTTCATCCAGTTTCCGCACATTGTGGGAGTTTGGTTCGAACAGTGGAGCCAATTTACGAAGGAAATACTTCATTTTCTTTAATTTGCAATTAGATGTGCTTTATTCTGTCGTTTACATTGTTTCCTAAACGTTCCTCTTCCCGAACTTGGACATAAACACAGCCTGGGGGGTCCTTGTCATATCTACAGATTCATTGACCAAATGACATTTTAAAAACTGTTACTCGCACCACGAGGAAAGGGCAGGCTTACATGGCAGAAAGTGGATTCTGCAGTTGTGACATCAAAGGTTTTTTCTTTGCCGCGCTGAAGCCTTCTAGGGGATACGAGAAAAGTAGCATTATTCAAAACTTCATCTATTTTGACGCGTTTCTTTAAAATGGCAAAGACGCGCATTTTGGTCTAGCCGCTAGGAGGTCGGCTGCTTAACCACGGTTCAGAAATGTCTGGTATACCTAGGAGCACTTGCAAAACGACGTGTAGCAGCCAGATTCCGGGATCTGGATGTGTCAAAGCGGGTATAGAAATGTTTGTCCGAAGAATGTATTGAATGAAGAAGGCTTCTTAATGCTTGCCACAGCAAATTATTTTTGTATTTAAACGCACTCACTGCTCATTAGGACAGTAGATGGTTCACTTGTGAAAAAGAACTGATGCAGAAATTTGGTGACGAGTAATAAGTAAACTGTATAACATGAAGAGGAGAATCACGGTGTTCCCTTTTGTACAAGTCCAAAGTTTTTTCGCCACATAGGTTTAAGCCTGTCGTGTTGTTGGGGGTCCAGAAATCCCCAAGGTGGCTCATCGTCGGGATTCATCATTTACGCTAATCCCCTAATCGGTTATTTGAGTGGGTGTTGTCTTGGTTATGTGCAAGCGTAGCACAAACGAAGACAATTTTTTTGTATTGTAGAACTTTTCTTTTAAGTTAACTGTCGTGATTTTTACTCCAACAAATTTGCTTAACAGAAAAGTACGAAAACAACAACTAAGAATGTGTTATTAGGGTGTATGGTTATGCTAAATGCCAAACTCGATGGTCAAGTCACGCTTATTTTGCAAACGCTTTAAAGATTTCAGCTCGAAGTACATCGAAAAGTGTCATAATAAAGGAAGGCATGGCAGAGGTCCTTTTCAAACGTGCTACATTAAATCTTTTCACCCCACAAGCGTCCGTTGTTATATCGGATCAACCAAACACATGTAAATAAACGAGAAAAGCACTTTCCACAGGAATTCCTCCCCTTATGGTAATTGTAGCGTGCTGTATTACCGGAATAATGGCGCCCGGACAATATAACTTGATGAAACCATTGTATTTTTTGGTCGAGAATGGCCGCTAAGCCACAAAGACGAAAAGTGAAATTCTGCGGTCGATACAAAGTGACATTGATTGAAACCTCAGTAGCGTATTTGTCAGGGCAAACTTTTCCACTACCTACACTGAACCACACAGAGTCGCTATCGGACGCACAGGGGGACAGATTCGCTTGTGCGGCCTTGTGTATCCCATTTTCTGCACTCAGATAATTAATGAACCGGAAATCACCATCCCCACGTCCCACGCTCCCCCTTAGGGGCGTGCACCAGCCCGCACACAGCGGCGATAACTCTCCAGTCCCCACACCCCTCCGAAACGAAAGTGCTGAATTTCGGTTTCCTGAAAGCATCGACGATGGCTCTGAGATGTATTTGAGCAAAAAAGATGCTTGTTTTATTTATTAAATGTCAGCAGACTAGGATATTTGGTCATTAAAACGGTTTGCTGGAGTCACGAATTTGACCTAATCCTGGATTAGCATGAGGGTCATCGTGAGTCAGTTACTACAGTTGAATTACCATTCATCTGTCTTATCAAGTTCTGCTCTATTTGGAGTATTGTGAAATTTCATCGCAAAAGTAATTCAATTTTCTGCACATCGTCAGCTAAATTGTTAGTCTGATTACTTTCAAACGAGTAAAGTCGAAAAAGTTGCCTTTTAATAAACGGAAAGCTGTCTTGTTGCAAATGGGACTAACGTTTTCTGATACGCACGAATGAACATCTCCTTGGTGCTCAAAGACGCTACGCATATACTCACCGCTATACTGGACGCGTGGACGTAGACTTAGAAGTCTCCAGTCTAAGGCACTAACACTAGGCTTGCTCATTCAGCCGTTTGGACTGCAATAAGCTATCCCATGCCCATCTAGGTACAAGTTCGGCACTTGCGGTAGGTTACATCGGACGTCCATTGACGTTTAGCAAATTTTATCACATTTTCTTATGCATTGATTACCTTTTACCTTTGAATGGAAATAGGCCCTGTGCAATTAAGTTAAGTTGGTTTGTCTGCGTTTCTTGATTCGTTTCATGTAATATCAGAGGACTGGGAAGCTCTACCTGTGTTGATTAAGGGTCGCCTCGTCCATTGTGTAATAATCGCTCCAAATTCTGCATCCACGGCTGCTTTCTCATTATCATTTATTGTATTACTTGATGACCAGCTTCATTAGCTATTCTTTCATTAAGTTGACTAACAGGCGGGATAATAACCCATGTCCCAGAGGGCCCACTAAAAGAACTTAATGCTTCACTAGATCTTGGTTAACGCAGTCAGAACAACAGATTTGGCCACTGTCCTCCGGAGTGTAATACTGCTGTTGTTGAGTTGATAGAATAAAGGCGTGTCACATAGATGGAGCACAATGCAACCCTGAAAAAACCATCGCAAACGCGGGCACTCACCCCGGCAGAGCCCGGTTGTCCACCCATAGGCTTGAAATCTACACTTCTTGGAAGTAGAAAAGGAGCTTTTAGATGCCACTGCAAAGCATTGACCAATAAACTGGGTAACAAAAGTTCAAAAAACCTAAAAAATTGGAACAGTACTACACCCTTCCACCTGTGGCTGCTGCTGGTTCTTAAATGACTGGGTTCTCGTGCGGTGTTTCTGCGCATCAGCAAATTCACAACGTCTTTTTCGATTTACACTTAAATGATCGTGAAAGACACAAGAGACGGCTAAAATCGCAAGGGGTGTAGAGGTCAAAGACCCCTGCGTCTCGTTGGTTTAAAGTGTCCACATTTTGCTGGAAAACTAACCCGATCAGACGGCTCAGTGTGAGCAAAGGTGGTACATAAAATGAAAATACCCAACGGGTTTCTAGTATTGCATAAGAACACTGATGTTACAAGTTAAGACAAAAGGTGTCATGCATATTTTTGCATCTATAAATTTATTGATTTAAAGAACAGGTCAAGTATTGTGCGAGCGCTGTTTAAACTTACCTTTTCAGCTTCGAAAGAGGGTAGCTGTGTTGCTGGTGAAGGCTGTTCTCTAGCTACATTAACATTGACTATCTCTTAATTACCGACTCCTGGGTATGTTAGCTAAATTACGCACGTCCTCGAAGTCGTAACTTGTGGGGGAAATCGGATTTAACCCCCTCCTTGTTAAAGATGTCAGTATTTTCTAAAAAGACTAGGCTAATACTATGATTTGCGGCGTCTATTAACTCAGCTCTCTTCATACAATCACAGCTTTGCTGTTGCGCCACATCGTCTCGCAATGTTATCTACTCAACTCATCTATCACAGGCTGCCCATCCACTTGACTTCCGCTTTGACCCCACCTTGTACCTCAACCTTTGGTCCAGATAGTAAGGCCCTTTGCACAAGCTCTAGTCTCCTCTTATTCTCTGAAGCCTTTGACGTGCCAAACAAGGGATTTCTGACTACTAACCCATGGCTGTGCATCAACATACCGAGTGAAAACGTTACACTCCTATAGCTTGATTTAAGTCGCAAGCTGAGGTACCGTTAGTGCGCCCATGCAAGTGGTTCTCCTCCACGCAAGTGGCAGCATCGCGCGGGTTGTCACCCAGGAATGGTCACTGTGATGGAGGTTGCAAGGGTCGGGTGGGAGGCGGGGGAGCGGGCGCGGTGATGACCGATCGAATGATTCAAGCCGTCACTAAGGCAAATGTCGCGCCGTAATTTATGGACTAGATGGCACACACACTGCCCATTCACGGGCGCCTCATGGCTGACACCAGCCCCTTGGTAAACGATAAATGTCAGGCTGAAAAAGAGAGACGCGCAAAAAGTGGAGGTCCATAAACAAACGGACATACCCTCTGGTAAATGAGTTTTTGCATGGTTTCTCGTTTTAAAGCAGACTATTAGCAAAAACTAAGCTGATTGTAGGCTTTTTAGTCAATTTTTGTTCTGATCGATCAGTGGTATATAAATTTTGTCAGTTCTAATAATTTTTAGTCAAAAAGTTCAAGTTCTGAGGTATTTCAGGGGTGAATATTAATGAATCGAAGTTCGCTCGAAACAGGAGTCAGGCAAACCGAACGCAATCTCTGTAAGCTTCAAAGCACACCTCATTCATGTTTAGAAAACGCAAATGAAATCTAGAGAGGAGTTCGGCGATTGCGTCATATCCCAGAAAGACCCACGTTTGCAAGCAGCCAGGAATCGAACATGTGTGGAAGCAAAAGTACGCACACTTTCCGAATGCACTTGACTGTCTCTGGGCCCTGGATCGACTGTTTGTTCTACTTTTAAAAAGCTGCCAATTTCCCAACCCCCACGTTGCCATGCTATACGTCTTGTCCCAATACAGGATGCCTGGATTGTCTGTCTACTTTACACAGCGTGGGAATGATTAGACCTTGTCTCACCAGACAATAAGCAACGAAAATTGCCCACCCCTTCAATTAATGCACACACCGTTAGATCGTGCCCGTGTAAGTTGTCCACTTCAAATCTCAGGTGGCAGGTGGCCGATTCCTATCACTGAATCGAGGCATATGGCAACGGGGTGGGGCGAAATGGGATTGAGACGAGGGGGAGACTTCGCACGACCAGCGACGCCATTAAAAAGACTGCATGGCTCAGTGACCATGCGCCTATCGGCGTCAGCGTTGTTTGTGGAACCCAGACTAGGCTCAGTGTTTGTTCTCATCTAATGTCGATAAGTAGGCCTTCCAGTAAATGGGGCAGGACTCGTGCTCGTCGCAAGCACTTGTCTCACCAGATTCTATCCCTTTATTTAGGGCAAAATCCCACTTTTATAGACTGACACCTTTGGGAGCTGAACCCACGACTGCTGCCTTTCTGTTTTTTTGCTTACTAGATGCCCAGTTTTAACCAGCTCTTGGAAGCAAACTGGACTACTACTACAAATACCACCACAATTAGAACACTAAAGTACCTCAGTTCGCAGCCACTACTAATTTGCTTATAAGTAAAATCGTTTGTCCCTTGGAAAATATACTGTCTCTGGATTCACCGCTAGAGTGGCTAGGTACAAATATTCTAAAACTTATCTGCACCTGAGATGTATAATTGGTTCTCTTTCAAATAAATTGTTCGTTTAGCACTATTTATCGCTAGCTAGGCAAAGTTGGCGCTGGCAGCCGAATTAAATCAATCAAACAACTTCTCGTTCCAGTCATTGCAGCCGAGGTTGATCTGGAATTGTCCAGCCAGTATCGATCTAGACAAGTTGCTGTTGCTGGTTTCAGGTAAATTTGGTATTTAATGAATAGGTGATGGGTCAGTTTCGCTTAGAAGTTTATTTAGTGCGAAAAAAGATCCCCGAAACGCCAGTATGCAAAAAGCAGTGGTTAGGATATTTACACGACTTTAAATTTACCCGAAGTCCATCAGACTATTTATCTAATCATGGAGCCGTATGCCTGCGTGTGAATGAAGAGGCGACACGGGCGCATTCCAACCCCGCTTTATCCGGTTCCTCCTGCTCCTCCTCTCCCCCCTCCACCTCCAGCTCCTTCTCCGTGGGTGACATTTTCCGATTGCAAATGTCACGGTAATAGGAGGCGAGGCGAAAGGGAGAGGGTTTGGTGACACCCCAGGCTACCGTGGACCACCGAGGGCAAGAGGTAGGGATAAATTCTTTTCCCGAGAATCGGCCCAGAAAGGGGAGTTACCAGCAGCCGTGATTTATGCGAAACCATGTACTAAGGATGATTTGGTTACGTAAAATCGGTGTCTGGCAAAACTGGCGAAAAAGTAGCTGAACTAAGAGACGCCAGTCTTTTTACTCATCGTTTGTGGAAAATTTAATAACGATTTTTATTTACGGAGAGCTTGTCGTTTAGTTCAGTAGCGTTCTGCTTTATTGCCACTGTTTACTTAACTCCTTTGGTCATCTAACTGCAACCCTGGCAAATCAATGTCACGAGATTGACGAAACGAAGTGTCAGACGAAGTTGAAAAAAATGCAAAATGCTCTACGGGAAATTAACATTAACTTTACAAATTTCCGTGTGTGAAGCAAACCAACTGCTGAAAGACCAGACCAACTTGTACCAGCACAACATCCTGTGATAGTCACCTGAGGGCTCGTTGTGTGAATGGCAAGTTTGCCTCAATTGGCCTCATCTCAAAGCATCTCCACTGCTCGGTTCCGCGCAGATGAACTCACCAGAAATTCAACTGGACAATCCATTTCAAGCCAAGACCAAGGATGAACACGAAAGGCAGTCGTCTGTGCGATACGATCACTTCATCATGACCACTCTGTTCCACCTGCTGTATCACCTCGCAACCACTGATGATGTCTCACGAGGCGAATGCAGGCGAGAGCACAATCCGCCACTCGGAGCGAAGGTCAACCTGCTGAAAGATACGCATTCACGTACAACCGTGGTCATTGTGCAGGGGGATTGTGAATTGATTCGTGCATCGAGAACTGCGTTAAATACCCGTCGAGACGTCTTCCATGACACTATGCGAAGGATTCAGTTTAATCACCCAATTGACACCTTTCCTGCTTCTTCTTCTTCTTCATCCACGACTGGCACTAATTGCACACAACTTCTGACTGCCTGGTGACCCGCACCAACCACGGGGCCACTCACCACGAGCCACATAGCCGGGTGAAATTAACTCGCAGTCACGGAACGCAGAAAATATGCCGAATGAGTTGAAAAGAGCGGAATCTATGAGGTTGTGTGGTGGTGGTAGCAGTAGTAATATCTACCTGAGACATCGTGAGAACCGTTCTCGTTGCACTTTTGAAACACGTGAAGCAAACACAGGGTATTTCAGTGAAATCGGCGTGAAGTAGTGCAACATCACTGCTCAAAGAATGCTGACATGTCCGACCGCATGCATTTGCACCATGCCAGTGCTCGACTTCATGCATAAATTGTTGTTAGTCGGTTACGATTGGTATTCACTGGGAACTGGTTCGTCATCATTCATCATTGGACCCTCACGCTTTCCCTTCCTCCGTCTGTCGTCTTTTTCTACAGCCGACTGCCACGAACAGGGAATCCGTACTGAAGGCCTCAATAAGGCGAAACACCGCTTCAATAATTATGGATGTTCTGATATATCAAAATATAATTTTTGAAACTTCGCTGAGTAGATTTCCACATTCTCGGGATGAGGCATGACATGTTCTAACAAATAAAAGAGGGCATAAAATTGCCATAAATTTTTGTGCTAACATAAGTCAGATTACATAGGATGATTCAATTTGTTGGACTTTACCTGAACGGAGGCACCGGTAACTTCCTAATCGAACCAATGATGCATGAATTTCCAAGTGTGCCTTTTTTATTGAAGGGTTCATGTGAAAGCAAAGCGATTGACGTAACTGGCTCTGTCACATTTCATCGCAGGGACTCGAACCTAAGACGCCTAGCTGTAGGGACATACAATATCAGGTGAGAATTGGTTGACTTTAGCTTTTAATTAGCAGTGGTACGCGGCAAAACCTATAACTAACTTTGCGAATTCTCGCAGCTGCCGCAAAGCCCAAATGTTTCTTGGGTTTGCAAGCAGGCCAAATCACCTCTAGTGATATTTGTCCAATTACTTAATCCCATGATATGCCAAGCACGTTCGTTATTTATATCAGTGAATTGCCGCTATTGAGGCTTGCCCTTTGTTATGCCGATTTCCTTTGTTTATATTGTGGAAGATGAAAGAGTATTAAAGGCGATCTCTTTCAAAGGCTCATGAGACCTTGGCAATACTTCTGATTATTCCCCTTTCCGTTTCATTCACATGCATTTGTGGGCATTAGCTGAGACGGGTCCAACCAGGTCATCAGACTGAGAACACGACTCGAATCATTTGCACATGCTGGGAAATATATTTCACTGAATCACAAAAGCAGTTTGTGCAATGCGCACGCAAAAGGGTGGGTCAGAAAACACGAGATCACGAAGGGGCTGCCGTTTCCGACTCATTGGATTTCGAAGAAGCTTGCTGAAATTGAAGCGGAGAAGTGGATGAGGTGAAGGGAGGGAGTGGGGGAAAAACAAAGGGCGAATAAGGCGGGAAGAGAAGCCTTAGGTCTGCTGGCAGGAGCGTTGCAAGAGCGCATGAGGCGTGAAGGTACCACTGGGGAAAAGGAGTGGACCGAAAGTCGGGAATAGCATTCGTCAGCTTCGTCGCCACCTTCTTCATCCAGTCGTTCTCAGCAGGCTCATCAGAGAAGACTTCGTGGAACGAGCGTTTTCTGTCAATGAGTGCTTCAGCACTGAAGGGCGAGGGCCTTGGAATGTCTCTGGAGATCATGGTCTTGGCCATCTCACGCCCATCATCATCATCAGCATGACCATGAGGCCGTCGGGTTACAGTGAGCTGCTCCGTCGGGTTTGCGGAAGGAGATCTTGACGGAAGATGTCCCTTCGTGTCTGGAATGATTTCTTCATCGCTCTCCTCTGGCAAAGCCAGCCGCCTAAAATTGAGCCAGTCGCAGTTGATGTAGAAATTATCTGCCTCAATTCTGTTATTTACATCTAAACACAGACAGCTCACGAAATGTGACACCATTATTTAATTCTGACGCATCTCAGAATGTCAGTGGACAGTTGCCGTCTTGTCGCCGCTCATATTAGAGCCTTTATTCCAATTACTGCAAGCCCAAAAGTGTCTCTGTTGGTTTTAACGACAGCAAGGTTTGTGGTGTCGTTAAAAGGCCATTTAGTGGCTACAGTTTGAGCATGCAGTCAATGTGTCAAACGCGCTGTACTCTCTCTCCCTCCGTTCTGGTACTGGATACAAAGCTAATGTTACTTAGAGCTCACAATTATACCCTTAAGATCGATCGTGATAGCCGGGATCGAATGAACACTGCCTAACTTCACTTCACCACGCCCTACTACTTTCCATCAGCTGTGACTGAAAGACTTTACGCGCTGCTTGGGGTCTAATGAATGTGTTAAGTGACTGACAGAGGAAACCCCTAGTCAAATCGCCTCCGCTACCTTAGGAAAGTTAAGCATGTTGAGAAAAGCGGCTTGCATTGCTGGCTTAATCGCTGAAAATTAGGATGGAGGTGACAATTGACCAACTGCATTTCATCATAAAGATCTAAATGATATTTAGGTGACAGGTCGGCACGAATGGTTAACAAGGCTTTTACCAGTCACGTGATATGATGTGCCGCATCTCATCGTGAATTTCTTATTCACTGGGCTGCAGATATCGAGGCAGGCGTCTTCGCAATGTAATAAATGGGGACCGCTTTGCACTTGAATAATCAGGTTTACGACCAAAGAATGGGATACGCTCGATCTTCTCCTTAGTTGTCAAGTAGGCGTCTCGACCAAGGCAATTGCAAATAAATGGGGTATTGCATGCAAGTCAGTGCATGGAATTCGCAGGTTCTTATTGCGTTGACGCCATGGCGCCACGCCATAGCCTTGTGTGCATTCCATTGCTCCTTTAAATGGAGACGCAGTTCCTAAAGAACAACTACTTCACCATGCTTGACTTTCTTTCGTCAGTAATACGAAAGCTTCTAGCCTAGCTATCAAATGTTAAAAAAGCGTTTATTGTCTGTTTCAGCAAATTGTTCCTTGTGCATCTGAACTAGGCACTTAGACGATGCCGTTCAGGTTTTCGATAATTTATTTCCTCGAACATATTATCGAGGTAGATGTTATCCACGTTGAACATACAATTGATACGAAGCACAGATTTTCGCAGTCAGTCTGTTTATTTTCCTACTAGGACCTTGTCTCTTCACAGCTTTTGGTGAGAATTTGAAGGAAGGCACTTGTCGTGGGAAATTTTATTTGCTCTGCAGTTGCGCAACACACTATTTGACACTACTTGGGTATCGACATCATCATCATCTGGTTGCGAAAACAGAAAACTAAGTGAAGGTTGATTTCAGGCAAAAGTTGGTATCTCCTGACGCTGTTCCCGGAAGAAAGCATCCTTAGTAATTGCCGCGTTTTGGGTATACTTAATTGTCGTTATTACTCATGCCGTTTAAGTACACGCTTATTGGTTAACAACTCGCCAGATCGTTAAATCTCCCATTACAGGGTCATTGTAGAGCAATAAAAACCAAGTTTTTTGCATCAAAAGTACGAATTCGGTTCTCATAAAGGGCAGATAAATGTCAAAATTTAGTTTGGTGGGCGCACGGGCCTTATCAAGTGGCAAGTGGCAGCCGGCTACTCCCCCCCAGTTGGAGGTAATGCACTTTATAAAGCGTACTTTGTACTTTAAAAATAAAAAATGTGAGTCACTGGAATGCTCCATTTTCATCGTGCTAAAAAAATATCCGAAATCATTTCCGTTGCCATGAGCACCAAGCGTAGTGTCGAGAACTAGCAAAATTAATCTCAAGCATATAAATATCTGAGACGGGACACCAACAGCAGACTTACTGGTTCTTTGAGGCAGCAGCCCTATCTCTTTGTCGACGATTTTTGAACCAATTGCCCACTTGGGTTGGAGTCAATCCCGTGGCATTGGCAAGTTCACGTTTCTTGCTCGGTCCAGGATATGGGTCCTGCAGATACCACTCTCTTAGCAGGCTTCTCGTCCTCTCCTTGAAGCAGTGGGTCTTCTGCTCCCCGTCCCAGATGGTTTTTGGCAGTGGAAATTTTTTTCTCACCCGGTACTTGTCAACCGGCCCCAGCGAACGACCCCGCAGACGTTCGGCTTCCTGGTAGTGAGCTTCCAGCCAAAGAGCCTGCATTTTCGGATGGCTTGCCTTCGAGAAGGTATGACGCTCCAGAAGGGAGTAGAGCTCGTTAAAGTTTCTCGTGTGGAACGCCACAAGAGCTCGTGATCTCAGTATGACTTCATCTCGATTTAGAATCTCCCACAAGTCACTGCGTTTGGGCAGAGACCACAGGAACTGACACAAACGGTCAATGTTGCCGGAATTCTCAAGATTTTGGCAAATCCGAATGATTTCCTGTGGCCTTGAGGAACAGTCATCTCCTGTATTCCATGGGAGAGATACGAAAGCCGTCAGTACTCCTTTTTGCGCGTGCAGACTTTCCGTGAATGCCTCTTTTGGGCTTGAATCGAGTAGACTTAAAGCGGAAAAGGTCGAGAGCTTCCTAACCTCTCTCTCAGCCATTATACACTACTATCGCTGCCTCTGTGTTTAGCGGGCATAATATCGGATCACTAACGCCAGTGTGACCAATAATCGGTGTCCGCTTACGTGGATGGGGCAGCCAATCAAGTAGAAAGGCGGCCAACTTAGTGCGAGGATTGGTCGCCTCGCCCCCTGTCCCGCGCATCAGCCACTGTCAAGTGTGAATGTGCGCGAGGGCACATGCATGACACGCTAGCTAATGCGGCTCTGTTTCACACCATGAGGAAAAGTTATTAACCTCCACTGGTAGCTCGGTGTAAATGCCACCTGTCAAATGTAAGTGCACGCATAACGTCAATAGGACGAATACCCAATTGACTTCGGTGATTGGTTTTAATTTATTCTCGGGGCTTCTTTCGTCTAATCTTGGCCTCCGTGATGCGTGTGATTTGAAATTGCCCTTATCTCCACTGGACATACGTGCATTATTTTTATTTATTTATTACAAGCTTTTATAACGTCCTTTTTTCTGTTAACCGTAAAATGTTCATCAAACTGAGAATTCTTGAGATTCTTGTTACGAGGTGACACTTCAATTTAAGGACGCTTAACTTATTGGCTTTTAGTTCTTGGATTTACCAAGAAAAAGCCGACCATTTATGGGGGCCTCACTGTTTTCCTGCGGAGAATGGCAACGATTCGAAGTTCTTCCCGTCCAAAGGCTCGTTTGCAGTTTCGCATCCTAGTTGCCTTCTAGATTAAACAAAATGCATGAAATAAATCAAACTAACCGATTCGAAAAAAAGACGCTAATTAACGCCTTAACTTGGAGATACGACATGGGCTGAAAGGTACGCATGAAAATATTCCTGTTTTGACAAGTCGAGACTAGTTTTGACGAAGACATAAAAGGGGGTTATAATGAAGTAGGGATTTAGGAATGTGGAATAGCGGCCCAATGCTCCAGAAACTTCAGCAAAATTTGCTGGCTTCGTGGATTGTTCTTACTACCCTGTTTGTCGAAGGTACTTCCAAATTTGGTTCCTATGCAGATTGCGCTGTAGTACCAAAAGTAGGGAACCTTTAAGTTAATCAGTTAAGCATGATGTGAGCTCACGTAATATCAGAGTTAGGTGTGAATGAGAGTAGGCATGCTAATTTTTAGGCTTAGTGACCGTTTTCTTGTCTTGAGTGTCCTCATTTGAGCCACCGTCGATGGTGTTCCCCACAATTAAGGTTAAACACGAAAATAGTACCTCAAAATAATGCGCATCGATTTGCAAGGAAGTCCAATTACCCCGTGAAAAGGGTACTACGAAGTCTAGATGATATTTTCGGGGCAATAGCCTAAGGGTGACGCATGGCCACTCTACGACTCATCCCTTGCTGAAATTATGTGAAATTACATAATTTATGGCATGAGTCAACCAGATACATAAAACTATTTGGAAATCGTTCAGCTTTATCTTTAAGCAATGGCACCACAAAGAAAAGACGCAAATGAGCCACTTTTGGGGCGCTCTGAGTCAAATGATGGTCACGAAGGCTTGCTTAACACCTTGCAGATCATCATTCACCAGTCAAGAAACTAAGTTACACAGTCTTTGGTATCGGGAGCAACTCTGCCCCCAAAGAATTAATTAAGGAAGTTAACACTGGTGAAGTACATAGGTTGTCTACAACGCAAACTTAAAAGTAAAAAGTCTTAAATAGATATAGCATTGTTGATAAAACAAGCATTACTGAGTGCTTACATTAGCCAGAGCAATTTACGGCTTCCTCGAACCAATCATGAGCGTCACAGTTTCGTAAAAGCAATTTTTTTTGCAGACGAAACACAATTGGTTAGAAATATTTTAACTAAGCCAAGAAAGCAGCAGGTAATGGCTTGGAGAGCTGTCGACTTCGCTTCTCCCAAGGCTGTTTCTGCTGTGCCACATAATGTGCACAATCACGCAGCCACTTCTCCACTTGACAGATGGCAAAAATCCTTCGTCTTAATGTTGTTCTGCTTCATTTTGTTATCACTTAACAATTAGGAAGCACGGAATATAAACTGCCTTGGGTCTTATCTCAGTAGCCAGCTTCGTCAGATCCAATCAAACATTTGCCATGTTAGCGTGATTAAAAAGTATATCGATTTTTGCTACCTCACTTTGCAAGAGTCGGTCGTATCATTCAATTTCTACCTCTGCAGTGAACTGAATTTGTTCTTATTAATATCTTCGTCATGAAAATCTTGCTAGAATTTGATGCTTTCATTGCTAGATTGCTGGTGATCAATGTACACCTTGGGCATCTATTTCACTAGCTCTGGAAATTCTCCATACTAATGCAAGCCATAGGTATCGTCAACATTTCACATTCGTCCCGTTGCTTGGATGTATCAGGGAAAAGTCCCATGTTCGACGCATAGTTCTTGGTAAAGGGGTTGAACTGGCCGGTTTTCAACACCAGGATTTATTTATTCACGTCTCGCATTGACCAGACATTTTTTCTGAGATCCACAACTCGTCATAGTTTTATACTCGGTGTCACCGTAACACAGTCACTCGAGATTTGCCACAAATATAATATTAACTAGCATAATTTTCAGAATTCCAAATCAAACCGGCGCCATCCACGTGTGCGTCGGAATTGGCACAATCTTTCCACAAATTGAAATCACAGCAAGATAAATGTCACCTCACAGGTGCTCGCGCAGTGCATGTGATAATTCACAAATGCCAGCAATCGAGATCTTGTCTTGTTGCCTCAAAACATTCCCTTCAATTATTACAAAAAGCGCTTCGTGCGCACGGCTTGTTAATGACTTGTAGGGATGCCCTTTCTTCTCGGAGGCGGATCAACACCACCGACGTGGCTGACACGCGGGGTTGGGCGACTGCCAGAGCCCTTTTCGACGCAGAGTTTGTTGACGCAGCCGCGTGGTGTCACATTGGACAAAGTGTTATGGCACCAGACATTTCACACACCGCCGCCTCCTCTTACCCTCCCCTCTCCTCGCCCCACCCTCCTCATGGATTCAAAGTGGAACAACGTGACTGCAAAAGATTCCTGTCGCGGGCTTTTGGGGTGGCGCAGACCTGCACGAATCAGGCATGATCAATTTGTTTTGATAAACAGACAATCAAGGAAGGTCAAAAGGGGTGATATCTCAATACATCTTTCTTTGCTTGTATTGTTGAAGATAAAGACAACATCTGGACAAACCCTTACTTGATGAGGGATGCACGGTACGCACGCGGCCAAAATTTACTTGCTACAACGCTGTCCGTCACTAAACTCTTACTCAGAGTCACCGTCTTTTTCGCCTAGGCAAGTAAAAATGGCATTTGCAAAATGACTGGAAGGCTGCAAAGATAATGACTCCGTAGATGATGTATTTGTGAGAACAAACGCTCTGGGTCTGAAAACGGTTTAGTCAGAAGGCGGATGATGTGTCCGATTGAACCAAAGGCCCGGGGCAACTTGACCTCGCGAAGAACGAGTTGACAAGGCCCCTCTTATGATGTGCAGGCATCAAATCCCACCACAGATCATCCGTTCCGCTGATTATTATACCAACCTTAACATAATTCTCACGCAGCATGCTGATTAAATTTGTTGGTCAGCATTCGTGATAAGCAAATTTTCTCGCTTGTTACTACTTACAACCCTGCAATATAAAAAATCCATAGACTTTTTTTAAGACAAGAGACAGAAAATATTTATATGGAAAAAAGACAGTTGACTAATTGTCAAATTTAGATCCTCATGACTGTGCACAACTTCACAAAATTGATCGTAATTTGCACTATTTTGGTACCGCATTGCATTCTAAGCAAAATGCCCATTGCATACTATTTAATTTGCCTCTTCAATTTGTGTTAATTTGCGGAATAATGACGTTGGATATAAAAGATACTGAGGATGCCTACTTGCCGAACTACGAAGACGTCGCAGTTAATTCCTTAATGCAGAAGGCAACCAAGTCGAAACCCAAAATAAGGCCGTTTAAGATGTGTTCCTGTTGGAAATCTTTGAAGCTGAAATTTATCAATCCAGTTGAGCCTTGCGATTCCCGTGTATATTTAGTCCCCTCGAATTTAAGTCCCCCGTGTTTGATAAGGTGCACATTTTTCATCAAACATTTGTCAGTGTACTTCGCCCGTAATAAGAAAAAAACTATGCTCGTGCTTGCCCTGCATTTTGAGGAACATTACAGTATGCTGCATTCTATACACGACGATGATAACATCAGTTCTGTGGTGTAAATGGGCGCAACAAGTTCATTCTAGGCTTGACCGTCTACTGTCTTGAGTAATTTAGAAACCTCAGACTTATTAGGCATGGTTAGATTAACCTTGCATAAAGTTTTACAAAACACTCAACTCTCAGGCTCTTAGGGGACTGAAATTCTCCAAAGTGTCCGAACTTAATGTTAATGGGGGGGAGGGGTTGGGCAATCAGAAGTGGTTATCATATGGGATTAGGAAGCAGTAATTAAGCCAATGGGAACGGCTACTTATGGAAGCCACTTCGGAGTTGAACAAGGTTAATTAAGCTAAATGAGTTGACGGTCAGGAGATTGGAGGTGTGAGCGCTGTATTCAGGCCAGTTTATTTAAACCGAGTCTAAACGCTTTCCATCGCAGTAGTAATTTAATAAACAGCTAGGAGGTGCTATTGTACCGCAGCCGAAATGTGGCAACTGAAGATAACGGATGTTATCTTATCCCAGGTACTGAAATTTTCTGAATTTTCGAGATCTCTTGCTGTCAGAATAGGTTGAGTCAGTCACCAGTCCACTTTAGTAGAAGTTCATTTGGTGGAAGGATAGAGACTGAATTAACAGCTTCGTGATGACCCTCGGCAGGCCTGCGTAATTGCAATCGATTAAAATCTATATTTCCTGTTGCAAGAGTCTGAAAAATCATTTGAAGAGACATCCAGCCTACTGTCGGGCACTATAAGATCGGTTTCGCCAAACCACGAAATTTACCCAAGCGTCCACATGACTTTATGAATGTACACTCGTTGTAACAGTACAATGCTGTGCGGTTCTATGTGGTTGGATTATCATCTGTCACCCACCTGGACTAGATTCGACTCGTGGTTGGAAGGAATTACACGCCTGGCTGGCATAAAGTTGCTGACGTGTTGGTAACAAGTTGAGACAGTTGTGAGGCCAAAATGTGACAATCTTTTCTTATGATGAACACTTGTACTTTGTGGCGGACGAAAGGGTCTCCGACTCTACCATCAAACTGTGTCAAAGCCCATATCCAGTGATTCCCGAATTTGTGAAAATGCGGATCACATTTTTCCAAACTAAAAGTTTTACATTCAGCTAGAAGAGTTGACTGAATACCCAGGAAATTTCACTGCAAAACCTTATGTGGAGAACAGGTGATAACATCTTAAGAAGTAATTCATGTGAATTTAGACCTTCCGTTGATTGGTTTGGATGTTCCAATAGAAGTGCCGATAGGGTGAGTTTGGTCCCTCTCACGAGTTCGTCGATGGATGAAAATGGAGGAGCATTTAGATGAATAAGGCCTCTGTTACGACTCAAGAGAGAACATCTACTAGTCCATAGGTAAAGGACGCTTTCAGAGTAGAATTCACAGTCAAATGAGTTATAGCATGTCTTGAAAATCCGGAAGGTCATTCGGCTTCCATGAACGGCATTCCACACAGAAAAGCGAGCTAGATTGCCCACGAAATTCCACAATTTCAACCTTGAACCCTTTGAAAACTTTTCACCTCGGTGACTAAGACATGTGGTAATTGTCCACTTGATCTCATGCAAAAAATGGATCAATTCAAACTAAACTGATGCTTTTATGGTTACTACCTTGGGTGCCCAAATGAACATTATCTCTGTAAGCGATTTCCCAACTTGTGTGATTACTAGGGGCACTTTCGCGAAGAAAATCAAGCGAGGGAAAGCTGATATGCGGAATCGTGAAACACGGTCATGCAGATTTGCGGACAAGCCCCTATCGCCTAATGACACGGTTGTGAAAACGCCCGAGGTGATCCCCTACGTCGCCAGGTCTGTTGCCACGCGGCCTGGAACGCGAAGGCCATTGTCGGACCCTAACGAGCCTCTGAAACCACCTCAGGCTCTTTACCGATCTTTTAACATTAGGAAAAATTTTGACCTCCTCATGGGAAAATAAATAATTACGCCAATTTATTTTGGCATGACTACGTGTCTCTAAAGTCTTAAACTAGGCACTGGTTTTTTTCCTGACCGAAAAGGCAAAAAATCACACATTAAACATGGAGTTAATTAAAATAGTTTAATTCTGCAGAACATCCATAATTATTGAAGCGATTTTTTGCCTTATTGAGGCCTTCAGTACGGATTCCCTGTTCGTGGCAGTCGGCTGTAGGAAAAGACGACAGACGGAGGAAGGGGAAGCGTGAGGGTCCAATGATGAATGACGACGAACCAGTTACCAGTGAATACCACTTGCAACTGATCTAACAACAATTCGTGCATGAAGTCGAGCACTGGCGTGGTGCAAATGCATGCGGTCGGACATGTCAGCATTCTTTGAGCAGTGATGTTGCACTACTTCACGCCGATTTCACTGAAA